TATTTATTTCATACTTCATACATAAGTAAATTATTAGAATTTAATAATTTTATTTACCTTGGTAAATAGTGCATAAGTTAATATTTGTATAGAATTAACATTTTAATTCCTACTTTCTATTATGTTATAAATAATTTAAGTATATCTTATTTAAGATTCTTTATATAAACAATTGTTAAATAAATAATACCACATACTGTACTAAATGGCAATGAATATTAAATGAACTCGCTCATCTTAATTGATACAAATGGACCGAATATTTTCTAACAGGTGTCCACACATAAGCCCCACGAAAAAAGTTTGTATTCACTGCAGACAATAGGAGAGAGAGACAGAGAGGCATCCCTCGAGAGCGCAGGTATACAAGTCCTCCCAAATACTATGCTCTCTGGAAATACATGTTATCTAATGTATGACTTTTTAGCGTGAAGTGAGCGGAATGTGTTGTTCAGTCGACTGACTGGTGGCTTAAAACAGTTAGTGAGTGCACAATAGCCTCCGGAGTCAATGCAGTAGTCGTTGTCAAGAGTTTTAGTTATCATTTGAATCCATGCATTGAAAAGAGTTTTTCTTTCATTCATTCATCACTCGAAACTCATTTGTAGTAAAGATATTGAATGCATTGAAAATAAGTGCCAATCATTGCGGAGAATATTCCTGAGAAGCGACTATAAAATGATTAATTTGTCGCTAATATAATAGTATTACTTTTTGATGCCATAATAGCTTACAAGACATGTATTATTCTTTGTTATACACGCTATTCATGTGTTTGTGGTGTTTGTGTCCGATCGTGTGGGCACAACATGGATCACCACCATTAGATCAAAACGCTGTACACTCTGTGCCATTAGACTACCAGCCCATTGACGCCTATCCCAACCATAATTCTCGTGCCAAACGCTCATCTGATCCCCGACCCAAACGGTTGCCATCGGGTGATGGCTATCACCAAACTCCTGATCCAATGATCGTCGACTTCCAGACAGAACTTTATCGACAAAACAAGTCGACGAGTGGTACGTATTAATGAGTATATTAATTGATACCCTGATGTAAAAGTTTTTAATCAATATAAGTTGTATGTTAAATGCATGTATACTATATTAAATTACTTTTTCTAATGAATCGCATTTGAATTAGACTAGTCATAGAATATCAAGGCAATAATCCCATTAAATGTCATGATTTGTTTGTTCAATAGAAAAATCAATTTATTTTATTCAATATTTGCATATAATTTGTATCCATTGTCAGAGTTTTATATGTAGAATATTCTTCATATTTGCAAATTATATGCTTTTATATATCAATTCTCGATACATAATGGCAAAAATAGTTTGATTTATTGGATGAGAGTTTTATTTGCACTTATTTTATGAGTGCTTTGAGTGTTTTCCTACATTTGTCATAACTTTTGTGTGATTTCACTGAATTGAAAATCGATAATCTATTTATAAGTCTTCAGAATCATTGCTTTTGTTGCTTCACTAAAATATCATAAGATTTACACAAAACCTCTGCATATGAATTGACCATCAATTTACACCCAATCTCTACCCTCGCTCTGTGCGCCTGTATTCAGTTGACCCTCTATTTCAACAACCTCTCCATCCAAGTGAACATAATCTTTAACAAGAATTTCTTTGACAACTTGTGTATTACATATCACTTACTCTTTCATTACTTAACTATACTTAACATTACATTCTTTGCGTAATTCTTAATGCTTTTTCACAATCTTAATAAGTATTGTCTTCATTGAACAACACAAACATAATATGATATAATGTAATTCTTTTGACATTTTGTGTACTTATCTATTGTATTGCATGTTTGCTGTAGATTTCAGTGTAGATTTAATAGTTTTTTGTATTTAGTGTATTACTCCTTCTTTCGTATTCCTCACTACAACTCATACTGTATAAAGATTTTATGCTTTTATGTGGAATAATATATGAGTTTTTATTTTATTAACTTTTTTTATGGTATTTATCTAAAAAGCATTTCCAAGAACTGCACACTATTTATAGGGCTTACTGTTTATGAGATTTTATACTTGTATTCAATTTTATAATTGTGTTCAAGAAATGCCTTCTTATGTAAACTTACGGTGCATTTCTTAAGCAAACAAATAAACGACTTTTTATTGTTATTAAGAATGAGTTAACAGAATATCGCTATTATTATAGGCATTCAACACATACCATACATTTTCATTGATAATAATACTGTCATTGAGATTCAGATTTTTATTTTACTTTAATGAGTGATTATTTTATTGATGCCATAAATAATTCACGAGAATAGGATTGCAGTCTTATTTTTGTTTGCGAATCATATGAATTGCGGTAAATATTATTGAGTTTGAGATAATGATAAGTATTTAAGTGTTATTTTAGAGTATAATTAGTTTAATATTCATGGATTCCGTAATAAACAGATTGTAAAAACTTTTTATCCATTTGTGTATTCAGTTGAGTGCCATTGGGCTGCCGTTTGGAAATGTGGCCATCGATTCATAAGAGCCCACAAATTCCTAGACTTAATCGGGAGTCGAGATTCATTTGATCCCAAATGTGCCCTCAGATCAGTAAGTCTTATGATCACAAAAAATATCAAACAATTTACTGACCTATGAATCCCTTCCCTCTCATTCGTAGGCATTCTTCGTATGTCTGAAGACCTCGAAAGCTAAGTACTGTCACAAACATACACAACAAAGCCATACGAAAAAGTTTCGCAAACGACTGGCCGATACCCTGTGGTCCACCCGCGCCTGTCTTGTCGGCAACAAAAACAGCGTTATTTCCTATTGAATGAATGGGACAGCCTTTCTTCACTACACTTCATAAGCCATACTATAATTTCCAATCCATTCCATTAGTACCATTCCATAGTCCGAAACGGCTGGTGACACACGATCTGGGAAACAGTAGGGGCACAGTATTGTGAGAGAAATTGCCTAAGATACTGATTGTGCCAAAGTTCAAACTAAATTCAACCTATATGTGCCCTAAATGTCTGTCCCAATGTATAATTGATACTTAATTATCGGTATTTTTATATATTATATGTTTTAAATTTCTAGTTACTATTATTATAACACTATAAAACCTCACTATATTTACAGCTATTGTATAATCAATTTAATCACTGATTAATATTTGCAATTTCGACATTTATTTGCAATAAAATTGTTTCAACTGTTTTGCAACACATTAACCAAAAACATGAAAGCAAAAACATAAAAATTGTTAAAATATAATTCGCACATACAGTAAATTATCATTTTAATACATAATTTCAGTTTTAATTTTGTTTCTTTTGTAAACTATTTGTGAGATTACTATCGAGATTACAGTAAATCCATTAAAAACACAACAAATAACTTATAATTCAAATATAACTTATATAATAAACTATAAATTATATTAGTTTTCAAAATAAATGCGTTTCTTATATACTCTTAAAATGTTGAGATAAAATCCAATAATTATGTTAATTCAATTAAAAATAAACCACAATTAGATCAACGGATACAACACTGAATGGTTAAGCGGTGGCGTCAGTGGCGGACTCGGCGGCCGTCTGTTCCAGTATTACCTCGAAGGAGAAGGGCTGAAACGAATAGCCCGACCCGCTGTAGAACTTGCTCTGAAACTCGACCCTAAAAATCAAACAAAACAGACATTAGTTAACCCAAAAAATAAGCAAAAACCACTCGTCAATGGCATACCAGTGCAGTCGAAGGGCGTGAAGAAAAGCGCTCAACCCCTCCATAACCAACAGAACGCTGACCGTAAGTCCGGCCCAAAAGCCAAATACGATATACATTAAAATACCACCGGAAATG